GAGGCTGCGTTGCATAAGGGAGCCGCAGGAGATGCCGCTGTGGCCCGGCTCCCGGGTGACTGTCACATCTGCGATGATTCATGTTCTGCTCGGGGGCGATACTCTGCAGAGACTACGAGCCACTTCGAGGGAATGTCCATCACACGGGGTCCCTGATCATGTACTGGGTGCTGTACGGGGTATACTCGGGTGATGGTGATGATGATGAGGGTGATGGTGATGAGGATGGTGGTGGTGATGATGAGGGTGATGGTGGTGATGATGTCATCTCACTTTTATGGTCATGTCGTTAGGAGAAGAGAAAACCTATTACAGAGTAATGAGAGTAATTAGGATGTTGTATTGATTAGCGCCGAGTAATTATCAGCAACGAGGGCGGGGGAGGTGATTTCTCGAGGGGTTAAGCCGAATCCTCATAGGAAGCGGAGATGATATTTTTTAGAAGCCCCGACACACTTATTGTTTTTATCCCTTTATACATTCCTTACATTCTGCAATCTCGGGCTGGTCATGTGATGTCGCAGCTTCTTTCTCTTCTACTCTGGGCTTGATGGTGGGCGGTCCTTACTCCTGGGTGGTCCTTATTCCTAGGAGGTTCTCACGGCTGGGCAGTCTCTATTGCTGGCTGGTCCTTACCCCAGGTGGTCTTTACTCCTTGGAGGTTCTTACTGTTGGACAATCCTTACTCCTGGGAGGTCCTTATTGCTCGGTGGTCCTTACTCCTGGGTGGTCCTTACTCCTGGGAGGTCCTTACTCCTGGGAGGTCCTTATTGCTCGGTGGTCCTTACTCCTGGGAGGTCCTTATTGCTCGGTGGTCCTTACTCCTGGGAGGTCCTTACTCCTGGGAGGTCCTTATTGCTCGGTGGTCCTTACTCCTGGGTGGTCCTTACTCCTGGGAGGTCCTTACTCCTGGGAGGTCCTTATTGCTCAGTGGTCCTTACTCCTGGGAGGTCCTTACTCCTGGGTGGTCCTTATTCCTAGGAGGTTCTCACGGCGGGGCAGTCTCTATTGCTGGCTGGTCCTTACCCCAGGTGGTCCTTACTCCTTGGAGGTTCTTACTGTTGGACAATCATTACTCCAGGGTGGTCCTTACTCCAGGGAGGTCCTTACTCCAGGGTGGTCCTTACTCCAGGGTGGTCCTTACTCCTGGGAGGTCCTTACTCCAGGGTGGTCCTTACTCCTGGGAGGTCCTTACTCCAGGGTGGTCCTTACTCCTGGGAGGTCCTTATTGCTCGGTGGTCCTTATTGCTTGGTGGTCCTTACTCCTGGGAGGTCCTTACTGATGTCCGCTCTGTTCAGCAGCGCTGTGATCCCGGGCCAGTGCAGTGACACGCCCCTATTGGATGTGTCCATGACTGACTGGGCTCACGGGGAGGGCCGTTCACTGTGTGCATTGTGTGGGGGAGGTGCGATGACTTCATTCGACTCACTTGTGTGGTGACATCATAGCGCAGGGAGAGTGTGCGTTGACGCCGCTCAGCGGACGTGGTGTGAATGAGCCCGAAAGGGATCGGGTGCCTCCGAGTATCACTGAACCCGAGAGGAGCAACGCCGGGCTGTGGGGGAGCGACTCTGCGGGGGACGGCTCTGGAGAGGAGGGGAGCGCTGCCAGAAGAGCCGACGTTGTTCCTTCTAGACAAGCCGAGCTTCATAGTAAATCTGCTTCGTCATTCGCTCGTACAAGGCATTTAAAGAGAACC